TTGCCTTTGGATATGTGTAAACACACGGAAAAAAAATACGTATTAGCTATGGATACCTTCTGCTTGGGACCCCCGTGTGATAAGGTCCATAGCCAGGTCATACAGCAAAGTGCATCCAAAATTCACAAAACAGCAATACTTTTATCGGACCATAAGCCAGACATGAGTTCAACAGTGTGATACAGCAGCTAAAAAAGCCAATTCAATTCTACACTGCATCAATAGGCGTCTTGATTGAGAGAAGTACCATAATAGCACTACTCTATTCTGCTTTGGTCAGGCTTCACCTGGAATAATCCTGTGTCCAGTTCTGGGCCCCATAATTCAAGAAGGATGTTGAGACGCTGGAGCAAGTCCAGAAGAGGGCAACCAAAATGGGGGAGAGTCTGGAAACCATGAATCCCTATGAGCAACGACTTATGGAACTTGGTATGTTTAGTCTGGAGAAGAGACGGTTAAGAGGGGATATGATAGCCCTGTTTTAAATATTTGAAGGGATGTCATATTGAGGAGGGAGCAAGCTTGTTTTCTGCTGCTCCAGAGAATAGGACCCAATGGAGCAATGGATGCAAGCTCCAGGAAAAGAGATTCCTCCTAAACATTAGGAGGAACATCCTGACAGTAAGAGCTTTGGGATATTGGAATACACTGCCTTGGAGTGTGGTGGGCTCTTCTCCTTTGGAGGTTGTGTCTAAAGAGAGGCTGGATGGTGCTTCTGGATGGACCATCTGTCTGTCCAGGGTGCTTGGATGGTGCCTTCCTGCATGGCTGAAGGGGGTTGGACTGGATGGCCCTTGGGGTCTCTTCCATTTTGATGCTTCTATGATTTTATGAACTGCCTGGGTGGCTGCATCCCTCCTCCTTCCTTCTGCCTCTTGCAATTCCACAAATGAACCTGTCCAGGAAGATCTGCCTTATCTCCAGGTCGCAAGATGCGCCAAGCAATTACTCCCCTGGACCTCCTTAATCTCATCAGGAGGTGGAATGCTAATGCAGGTATTTCTGCTTTCTTTCTTTTTTTACATCAGGGTAGTTTCCTGACCTGCTCTCACTAGAAGAAGGATGGACAAATCTAGCCACAAAAGCACTTTGGTTGCAATGAAATGGTCTGCGGAAGAGCTATAAAAGGGAGGACCCTCTCCATCAAACCCCTTCTCCCTTTCTCTGGTCTTGTTTTCCATCCTTGCTTGTGTGACCTTCATGGTCTCTTTTGTCTGAAAGTCTCTCCTCTCTCAAGCTCACACAGAGACATACACACAACATCTCTTCTCCCCTGCAACATGTTTCCCTTGACACCTCTTACCCAGAGGTTGGATGCCCACCTCTCCAGGGATCCTCTAGTGATGGCAGAAGTGTAATTTCAGTTGTTGTTGTGTGCCCTCAAGTCATTTCCAAGGTATGACAGCACTAAGGTGAACCTATCACAGGGTTCTCTTGGCAAAGTTTGTTTGCTCTTCTCTGAGGCTGAGAGTATGTGATTTTCTCAAGGTCACTCAATGGGTCTCCATGGCTGAGCAGGGATTCGAACCCTGATCTCCAGAGTTGTAGTCCAACGCTCGACCATTACGCTATGCTGGCTTATTGTCCCCAAATTTCCATTGTTGCAGAGCACTGAAAATCATTCACACTTGGGACACCTCTCTTTGCTAATGGAGTTGAAATTGTATTGTTCTTGTTGCATGCCTTCAAGTCATTTCCAACTTATGGCAACCCTAAGGTTTTTATGGGGTTTTCTTGGCAAATTTCTTCAGAGGGGGTTTGACATTGCCTTCCCCTGAGGCTGAGAGAGTGTGTCTTGCCCAAGGTCACCCGGTAGGTTTGATGGCTTAGCATGGATTTGAAACCTGGTCTCCAGAGTTGTAGTCCAATATGCTAACTACTACACCATGTTGGCTCTCCTGTCTTTTCTTGCCCTTTGTCCCTATTCCTCACATGGCCAAGAAAGGGAATGGCCTCTTCTTCTTAAATGAAAGCAGAGTAACATCTGAGGCTGCATCTACACTGAAAAATTAATCCAGTTTGACACTGCTTTAACTGCCGTGGCTCACTGCTGTAGGATTCTGGGATTTGTAGCTTTGTGAGATATTTAGACTTCACATTCAGAGAGCTCTGGTCCCACAACAAACTACAAATTGCAGGAGTCCATAGGATGGAGCAGTGGAGATAAGACCGTAGTGTTCTTCTAGAGAGAAAACATATAATCTGGAACTGACTTTCATGCTGATGGCGGTGGAGATCACACCTTGGGGAAGTTGCTTTTTTGGACATTGTTGCTCATTGTCTTTGAGTCGATCCCAACTCATGGCGACCTTGTGGATGAGATGTCTCCAAGACTCCTTGTCCTCCACTTCTCAGCTCAGGTCCTCCAAACCCATGCCCATAACCCCCCTGAAAGAGTCTGTCAATCTGGCATGTGCTCTTCCTCTCTTTCTTCTACCTTCTACCTTTCCTAGCATTATTGTTTTTCCTAGCGATCCATACCTTCTCATGATCTGGCCAAAGTACAACAGCCTCAACATGATCATCTTGGCTTCCAAGGAGAGATCTGGTTTGATCTGTTCAAGGACCCATTTGTTTGTATCTTTGGCCATCCACAGTATCTTCAGTACACTTCTCCATCAAGGCATCTCAAATGAGTTGATTTTCTTCCTGACTGTTTTCTTCACTGTCCAGCTCTCTCATCCACAAATGATGATGATGAATACCATGGCCTGGACATTTCTGGCTATAGTGCTCAGTTGTAATCTTTACTCTTCAGGATCTTTTCTAGTTCTTTCATAGCTGCCTTTCCTATTCCTAATCTTCTTCTTATTTCTTGACTGCATTCTCCACT